TCGAAATCATTTCCATTTCCTTCTCTTGCTCTGTTTGCCTCCTCCTCCCCCCTCCCCCCTCCCCACTCTCCGCAGTCGTCCCGATTCCTTTTCACGGCGACGAATAAGTGGATCCGGAGCTGCAGGCGGAGGCGGGCGCAGAGTGAGCAGGCCTGCGGTTCCCCCGCACTGGCTCATCCAGCCTGTTAGTGAAAATGGACTCTGCTGCAGAAGCCATGCCTTTTCATTCGCTAATTGCAAAAATTTTGAGCTCCCGAGGACCCCCTCCCGGAGCAGCACGACGGCCACCAGGGTAATTCACCCAACCTGCCACTGGCGCTGAGCTAGCTCCGACTCGGTTCACCTCGCTGGTCACTCTCCTGGTGACGCACAAAGCAAGGCGGTGCAGAGAGCTGTCGCGGAACCGCGTAGCCCCGGCTGGTATGGCCCCGACCCCGACGTGCGGTGCGGCTACTGGTTGGTTCGCCATTCGAATAGCTACGACTACTGCGAGCTCCTTCAATAACCCGACGCGAAATTTACTTTACGCAAGTAGTGGATTGCTTTTAGTACGTCGTGGCAAACCTATAACGTACTAGTTGCCATCTCCCCGCGCATCCCAGCGGGCGACAACGGTGTACCCTGCCATTATATACACCAGCTCCCAAAGTATACGTTAACAACAAAGCATGAAAGGTTATTTTTGTTGTATTAAATTCATGTGACGTCACATTCCTTTACCCGTGAAAACTGCCACATTATTTTTCAAGTGTAGCTTTAGAATTTACCGAACTTACAATTGACCATGGCCTACCTGAGTCACGTTGAAACAAATGCGACATTATGGTTTAACGGATTTAACCTACCAATGTTTCAGTTTTTACATGCGTACCGATGAGACGCCACATGAAGTTAAAAAAAGACAGTGTAAGTGCGTCGGTTACGCGGGAAAGCCTCTTCAACTCGGGTCGAAAATCCGACACTGTAAAACATATCGTCCTCGTCGTACATTTACAACATTTTTGTAAACACGAATAATAATTTAAGTTGTAAATTTACGTGAGCAAATTTTTTACCTGCCAATGGATTCTAGGTCGATACGTAATGCATGTATTTTTACGATTAAAAATTGTAATTTCACAACTTACATCAAGGAAAATTTTCCTGTAAACCTTCCAACTATTTTTCACAAGTGGAGAGTAGCTTTTCGTTTTCGTGAGAAAATAAACCATGCAGGGGCATTTGTTGACAGTGACGTTGGGGTCGGTGGAATTACTTGAAAGGGGTATAAGACAACGCCTTGAGGCGTGGCAAGATGAAAGTCTGGCAGCGACACAACAACTGCATACTGTACGACGCACACGGGAAGGGGGAAGCAGACGAGGAGGCGCAGAGAGAGAGAGAGAGAGAGAGAGAGAGAGAGAGAGAGAGAGAGATGAGGGATAGATGGTGTAGTCTAGTTTCC